AGTTTCAGTTCTTAGACACAGTGTCGTGTCTTCCTGTGGTTCCATTAACTTGAACCATGCTGAGGCTGTTTTAGTGTTTCCTCTTAATCACACTCAGTCGTTCTGCTGTCCTCTCTCACTGAACCCGTGTGCTGACAGAGGAGTACCTGCTGGCTGTAGGCGCTCAGCACCTCCTGCAGGGGGAAGGTGAAGCGGTACGAGCCCAGCCTGGACTTCTCGCTGAAGGCCGGAGAGGAGGCGAACCTCCACAGGAAGCTCCGCTGCCTCGCGGCCTGCTCCTCCGTCCGGTTTGGGCAGGTCTCCTCTAGCAGCCTCGTCTCGGCCTCCTGGATCTCCTCGCGTCCCACAGCCAGACTCCACCACACCAGGACCTGACAGTGAGGGTCCCCGAAGCCGTCGTCCACCCTGATGCAACACAAGCCGCGTCGCTCCGTGTCGTGTTTGACACGGCTCACGTGGAACTCGGGTCGGGGGTACGGAGGGATGTCTTCACTGACGATGTACTGGTTCTCCAACCCACACCTTTGAACTTCCTGTTTCAGATGATTCAGCCTGGAGTGCTGACAGTACAGGAAGTGCTCTAAACGCCCTCTCCTGTTTCTCCGTGTCCGCATGATCACAGGTCGATCCGGGCCTCTGTGGTGGAGCTGTTCCTGCTCACGTCTGTCTCGCTGCTCCTACGAACGCTGCGAAGCACAAAAAGTCATCATCAGCGTCAAACTGAGGATCAGACGAGTCGGAGAAGCTCGGCTGAGTCAAACATCAGCAGCTGGACTGACGCTCGCACCTCTGTGGTGGTTTGGAGCTCTGCTAAGTCATTTCCTGCCTGGTCGCAGTGTCTCCTACTCTCAGTGATCTCGCTGCTAACAGATGCTTCTGTGTGTTTGTGCGCACAATGTTCTCACTTCCTGTCTCGTTGACGTCTTTGAGCCTTTTTCCGTCTCCGTGTCCCTGCAGTGACTCTGTCTCTTTGCTTTTATCATCGTTGTTTGCTCTTTTCCATCATGCTGAGTCTCTGCGTGGTCTGTGTGTTGCTGGTGTTTTGTGTTTGCTCTTTCTGTCCTCTCACACACTTTTGTGTCTCCGTTTATTCTCAGTTACTCTTTGTGTTGTTGTGTTCAGTGTTTGTTGTTTGTCAGTCAGTTACAGTGAATCTGTGATTGTTAAGTAAACACAGTTTCTGTATGAGTTACCTCCATGACGCGCAGCAGCAGCCCCGCCCCTTCAGTCCTCCGGTAGGTGACGTGTTGGTGCCACAGCCGGCATGAGTCACGGTGGACGAGTTTTCCTGCGGTTCTTTCAGAGTTTCCACGGAGTCAGCCCTGCGAGTCCGGCTCGGTTTAAAATCCTCTCAGCGGCTCCCGGACACACCGCACATGCGCAGTAAACTTCCTGCAGCTGTCACAGCTGGAGTGTGACAGCTCGGTCCGGCTGTCACCTGAAGACTCCACGGTGCCGTGTCAGCTGCGCCTGTGGGCGTGGCCGGCTGCACTCTGATCTGTAAACAGGTAGATAACAGCTGATGGAGGAAACATGCTGTCACGTGACTATTCACCCCGTGTGAGGCGCCCCCTGCTGCAGAGGCAGGCACCACACACACACACACATGTTAATTTACAAAACGTGTAATAATGTGAATGCATCGTGGTCAAATGACGTCACATACTAGACACCTGTAGCAGTGAGCGATCAGCTGTTCCCATCAGTGATGTCATCTAACTGTGCTTTGTTTAATAAAGATTTAAAGACCTGCCGCTGTTTTTACACGCTTTAGGTTAAAGACTTTTATTTTGAAAGATGTAATCAACGGAAGTTATTAATGTTGTCAGCAAGGAGCCCTGCCACTTCCGGTTAGATTAATGATTAAAGTAAGTTAAATAGCATGTATGAAGTGTGTGACGTTAAAACGGTGAGAGGAGCTTTA